TGAGCAGTAAATGGGGGAATGGGGCTACAACTCTCAAAACGACCGGTCGGGTCGTTACAACTACGAGTAATATTAACCCTGTCAATCAATAAACCAGATAAATTAATTAAACAATTTAAGTGAAAAATTCAATAGGATTGTTAGCTAACCCATAACTCTAGAATATCGTCTCTCATTGAATTCGTGTTTAATATCGCCAACTTGTTCCTTTAATTTCTTAGTTTGTTACTCTAGATTAATTTGAGTTAATTATTTATACTTTAGGATTCGCTTGAATAGATTAATTATTTGAGTTTAATTTAGTTGATAGTTAATCACAAGTCCCTGTGGGTACGATATCTGGACTTACAATCCTATATTACTTGTACGACCACGTATACTTGCATGTGCATTTGGGAGCAACAAGTTTTTGGCGCCGTTGCCGGGGACTTTCAAATTGACTGTTTTTCTAGATTAGATTTTTACTTTTTATCTATTCAAGTTTTAATTTTAGTTTAGTGTGGTACTTCTTTAATTTTTTTTTTTACATGGCATCTTGGAATGAGAATTGGTCAAATATTGGTTATTCTTATTTTGGTGATCCCTATCCATCTTATGGAGGACCACACTTGTGGCAAAATTATAAATATCAATCTTTTACTTGGAATATTTGTAATGTGTGTGGTTGTCAAGGTGCCCATTGGGATGATTGTCCTAATTATTTTTACCCTTCCCTGAGCCCTTATTATGATATTTCTAATAATGTTTATGTGTTTGATAGGAGCAATGAAGTGGAGGATGTGGAACGTGTTACCCGTATTATGGACATGGTGAGGCAAGTAGCCAAGCAACAAGATGAAATTCACAAAAAAGACTGCCTTAGCGATAAAAGGACTGTAGACTAGAATGGAAGAATTAATGGCCAAGTTTCAAGAAGAACCTCAAATCGATGAAGAGAGCGAGTTCCCACAAGAAGATAACTTTGAAGAAGCAGATATCGTGAGCCTGTCTTGGCTAGAGGAAAAAGCTCAACTGGCTCAATTGAATAAAAAGGTTGAGGAGTTTGATGCCCTACAACCAATTTTTGTGAATACTGGCCAGCTTGTGGAGTGGAAAGAAGAATTCCAACTATTTGACAAAAATATTATTAATGATGTCAAGGTTGAGGAAGTGTGCAAAAGTGAGGATGTCAAAAGTGAAGCAATTTTAGATTTTGAGCGTATTGGACCTCATTTTAAACACTTTTCAACTTTGTGCTTGGTTGGTGACATGAGAATTGATCCATTCGAGCCTATGGAGGAGTCAATAGATGGGGGACAAAGTGCATATATTCTGATACTTGCAATGCCAAGGAGACAAAATAACATCCCTCACTTAAGGGCCAAGAAGTGCAAGATGTGATATCTATTGCTTAGTTCCTTTATTTTCTTCACCACCGGCCCAGGAACATGACAGAAAAATGGATGCATAATTGGGGGTGCAATTCATATCCTCAAAGTGGAAGGAAAAGTGGTAAACGTGATAGAGTCGTGCCACGACTATAAATAAGGTGTTTGTTGGGAGGCAACCCAATTCTATTTTTTTCTTTGTAATTTTGTTTATTTTTTTGTGTTATCTTTGTTATGTGTTATTTTTGTGCTTTGTAGGAGTAAGAGCATGGAATAAAGCTATTAGGCATGTGAAAAATCGAGCAGGTGGTTAAATAAGTGTGGAGTGTCTGTACAAAGAATCATACCTGGGAGAAGTCTAAGTATCCCGTGAGCTGCTAATGGTTCGGCCTTTGGCCTACCGGGGAGTCTTTTTTACCCTCTTGTTATTTACAGTGTGCATTGAGGACATTGTACAATTTTAAGTGTGGGATAAGGAGATTGTCTAGGTAATTTTCTGTGCTATCCTAGCTTAATTGTAGTATTCATTTTTAGTGTAGTATTTTTTTGTCATTTAAAAAATAAAAATAAAAAAATAAAAACGAAAATTGAGAAAAGAAAAAAAAAAATCAGAAAAAGGTCGAACTTTTTCCGACGATGGATCTTTTGGACAATTTTCTTGAGGGATTAAAGTACGATTAAAAAATACCAAAAAATTTTTTTCTTAGGATAGTTAAGTAGGATATCTTGGTTTTTCTTTGGGCGCCGGTTCTTTTTCCAGGGTGTAGCTCAAACCGGGTACTTTATTTATTTTTAGGAATAGGATAGGAAGAAGTTGAGTTGCTCTGAGGTACCTATTGACGTGTTTGGTGCTGCCACATTAGGCTATGGCATGAGCCCTGTCTTACCATATATTTGATTTGAATTGTGATGCCTAAGTAAAATAAATAGCCTACTCTGTGATGCCTTTTCTCGGTTGTTTGACTTGTATGCCACATATTATAATATTCCTTAAAATTTCTCAACTATATATGCTTACTTGACATGGGAGTTGAACATAACCGTCTTGATTGAGTCATGTACAATGTGTGTGTGAGGATTTGTGATTTTTTGTGCTATCTTGTGTAGTCTAGAACTTGCGCCGTATGTTAATCGAAGCGAAATCGTTAAGTTGTGCTAGTCTAGGAAATGACATAGGCGTTTCTTGCTTGATCATAGATGTTCTTGTCACTTAAAAATAAAATTTTCCGTTGCTAGCCCCTTTGAGCCTATAGACCTTTTTTTTTGGCACCCACATTACAAGCCGCACCACTATTTTGTTCTTAATTTGAGATTGTTGAACCTTTACCTCCTAAGTCACTTAGTCGCTAAAAGAAGTAAGGTGAGAGATTGGGGAGTAACTTTCGAGTGAAACCATAGAAGGGCTCTTAAGGTGCACTAAGGTTGTGAAAAGAAAATCACTAGCCGATGAACCTTAATGTATGGAGTATGTGTAGAAAAGAAAAAGAGAAAAAGAAGAAAAACTATTTGTAAGAAGAAAAAAATGGATAGTTCAAATAATGTAGAGAAACACACACCTCCTAATCTTACTAATTCATATTAGTGGGAGTATAGACGTGCTTAATTGAAAAAAGGGCTATATTGTTTATGGTTTGTGGCGAGTTAATTGGTTGAAAAGAAGATGTGCTCGATTTGTGAGTGTAGTATATTAAAGTGCTTAGGAGGGTTAGCCACTATTCCTAAATATATCCTACACGTCCCTTAGCCTACATTACAACCTTAAAGTCCTAATTGATCCTAGATTTGGCTAGCTTAGATTAGAAAAAATGTACACTACGGGCAAGCTTATGGTACAACCACGAGATGCACATGAAATTCTTTATGAGAGTGAGCGAGTTTTGTTCAATTGTGTGATGTCCTTAATTTATGTTCAAAGGCATACTTGAATGTGTGGACTATTCTATATTTACTCTTTTGTTTGTTGGTGAGGGCACATGATCTCATGAAAGATTGATAATATTGTAAACTTCTCTTGTTGGGTGAGTGCGCGAGTTGAGGGTGCTTAGTGGTAACGAGTCGGCTCTTGAGGTAGGGTGGTTAAAGATAGGTTGTTTGAATTGATTGAATTGAAATGGTTATACTTGGGCAGGTTTGAAACGGGAAGAATGTGAAATTTGTATGTTCATGCTTGATTGTCGGTATCGATCATAGTCAAGGGTAGAGTGTATGGTTAAAAATTGAAGTGCTCCTCTCTAGTTGAGATATGTATGTTGTTGGGGTGTAGTTAATAGTCCCATTGCTCGAGGGCGAGCGAGAGTTTAAGTGTGGNATATATATTTATTTATATGCATATTGCCTCGCATTTTACTCATGTTTCGTAAATATCGGATGTATAATGTTATAAATTTTGTTAATTCGTAGTATTTTAATGTGTAAGAGTCATCTGGAGGTAATGCGGGACAAAAGTGCACGAGTTGAAGCAAAAATGGAACAAAACGAAAAATTGGGACAATGTAGCGCCACAGGTAGCGTGGGGCGCTACCTGTGACATAGTTTCCAGAACCTCGAAAATCCCAGCGCCAGGGCTAGCGCCCCACGCTACCCTGGGTGCTAGTGACGGAAAGTTTCTCCTAGTTCATCCGGGACAAGGTTATTTGGGCCCAAGACCCCCTAACGCTTATAAAAGCAAGTCTAAACCTATTTTGGAGGGGGGACACCACTTTGAGAGGGAAATACACACACGGAACACTCGGGAGCAAGGATTCTCAGTATTTCTTTCTCTTCCCTTCCTTTAATCTCATAGTTTATTAGTTCTAGAGTTTTGGGTGCTACATGAACGTTATAGTTTGAAACTTGAATTGTTCTTATTATTTTATCATATTGGTTTATTTATTCAATCTTGCGATTAATTATTTGATTGCTTGATCACCAATTGAATACTATCTACGAATCTAGGATTCAACTCGGGAGAGGGAATTCTAGATTGCATATAAGATTGAGTAGAGCAAGATCTTGAACTCGAGCATTGGGAACGGATTTGTGGTTAGGATAGGGATATATCTAATCGTCTTGCTTGGTTACTATACATGAATTATTAATGTGTACTTGTTAATCCTAATTCCATAGGAATGTAGGCATTAGGTTAGTTTGAATATGCGAGCAATACTTCGGGAGAAGGCTACGAGTAATATTAACTCTGTCAATCAATAAACCAGATAAATTAATTAGACAACTTAAGTGGAAAACTCAACAGGATTGTTAGCTAACCCATAGCTCTAGAATATCTTCTCTCACTGAATTTGTGTCTAATTTCACCAACTTGTTCCTTTAATCTCTTAGTTTGTTACTCTAGAGTAGTTTGAGTTAATTATTCATACTTTAGGATTCGCTTGAATAGATTAATTGTTTGAGTTTAATTTAGTTGATAGTTAATCACAAGTCCATGTGGGTACGATATCTGGACTTACAATCCTATATTACTTGTACGACCACATATACTTGCGTGTGCATTTGAGAGCAACAAGTTTTCTTGATCATTCAATTGGACAAAGAACATTCTTTTTTAATGCAAAAGAATTTTATAGTCCATTATTTTTATCGATTTCAATAGGTTAGTATCGTTTTTTCCAAGTTCTCCGCACATGGTTACTAACAAATGTCTCTACTTAATTGTTAAATTGTCTTATTGTACAAAAAATTTATACTGTGAGTGAATATAAATGAAACATGATAAAGCAATTCAAGATCAGTTCCTTCGGATCAATGAAGCTGCAATCCCACCAGCAATAAGTCCTATAACAGTTGCTGTAATTCCTATACCAATGACAACATCTGCATTGCAGAGAACACAAATGAATCCCATTTTGTATAATAAGTATGCAAAACCAAACGAGAAGGGAAGAAGTCTCTTGTCATTACCCTTAGTAATTCTATCTTCAATATCCTTCTTAAGCGACAACGCCCGTCTCCAATCAGGCGCAATCTAGCAAAGCAAGAAAGAGGTTTTAGAAACTACAGAAAGAAACAGAACTAAATAAGGAGGTCAAATTTTGATTGTCTTCAAACGCTGGATAAATGACAAGATCCAACTACATAAAGATTAGGAGCAGACCTCCAAACAGTGACCTGTTAGCTCTCTGCTCATTGAATATTCCCCACTTCTGTAATATCCAACAGCTAGAAGATAAAGCTTTTCTCGCTTCTGTAGTGGACTATTTGAGCTGGCAAGTGTAACTGCAAAAAAGGAAAAAGAAACAGAAAAGATAATGATTCTCATAAATTGAACACTCAAAGTAATTAGCTATTCAGTAGATACATAAATATCCAATATAAACCAACCAAAGATAAAAAGGAAATCATATTTTTGTTGGGAAAATACTAGCATTCTTCAAAATAAGGAGTATTAATTTTACAACGGTTCAGCGTAACGTGATTCTTAATTCGTAAAACCATTTATACAGAGCAGTATAACATTGTTACAGCTTAGGAGTGAGACCTGTTTCATTACTAGAGAAACTACAAGACTGTCTAACAATGTCCTTCAAGTATGTGAAAAGAAAAAAGTAACTTCATGAAGAGAAGAAGATCACACATTCTTCGAGCTCCCCAAAAGGTGTTTCTATGCAGGACTTAGAAAGACAGTGAAGGACATAATGCTAGTAGATAAACAACAATAAAAAAATTAGCTGCTGCTAAGATCATTATGCCTCTATGTCCATGAATATTGAGACTTAAGGAAACTAGGAGTTAAACAATGTAACAAGATAGTCGGTGGTAGTATCAGAAATTCAGAAACGCTTGTAAACTAGATATTATGAAATACATAGAAGCTAGGGAATCAAAAGACAAGTAACATAAATGGAGAAGTAGATCTGACAAAATTTCACCCTCAAGCATAGCTATCCCTCGTCGCACATCTTCAGGTTGTTTAGAATGGACAAGCGCCCATGACAATCTCATAATACTCTCATTCTTTCCTTCATCACTGGCAGCATCTGCAGCTTCTCTTTCACAGCCCTATCAAATATGCATAGATACATAAGACTAAGCATCAAAAGCAACATAGTGCAGAATCTCACCAATTGTGGCTTTGTTAATATACTAATCAATTAGTTCAACAGAATCATTTGATTCACTAACTAGTAGTTAGAATTATAATTGTTCCATTTACAGCATTGAGTTATGTTATTAGCCAAGTCTGCAAAGAACTATCCAGAACCTCTAATTTGATAATAAATTCAAGGTAAATCACCTCCATGCTGGTGGCCTACAGACTTATGCATGGGCATCCGTCCACCTTATTAACACTCCAGAATTCAAATTTATACCTTATTAGCTTTAATGCATAAACATTTTTGCAAGTAACGATTTCACGAAATTTCAATTTCGTGTAGGGATTTCAAGCTTTATGCTCTTACATTTTCTTTTTGTGAGACAAACATTAGATCAATCATGTTTTATTGTTCCCGGTAAGGCTACTAAGGCATGCTAATATAAGGAAAACACCAACTGAAACTGTATTATAAATTTAACAGATTGAAATGCCTAGCATCTCTACTGCAACAGCAAAGATTACAATTTTTACATTGAGAGACGTCATTCTCGACAGCTCAATCCTTTTGCTGTTAATAAAAAACTGATCTTTCTTCCAAGTTCACGCAACATCAGCATATTTCTAATTAATACTCTTCAATCCCAAGAACACAGTCTCTTTTTTTTTAATGTTAAAAAACATAGTACTCCCTCCGTTTTAATTTATGTGAACCCATTTGACTGGGCATGGAGTTTAAGAGAAGAGAGAAGACTTTTGAATTTGTGGTGTAAAATGAAGCACATATATTTTGTGTGGTTATAAATCATGGCATAAAGGTAAATTGTTTCCAAATAGGGAAATGAGTCATTCTTTTTGGCATGGACTAAAAAGGAAATAGGTTCACATAAATTGAAACGGAGGTAGTATTAACTTTCTTCAAAGTTCCTGCAACGCAAAGCAACATATTTCTAATTAATACTCGTCAGTCTCAAGTTTCAAGAATACATTTTAGTTATAAATAAAAACATAACTTTCTTAATTGTTCCTGTAACCCAAAGCAGCACTTTGCTTACACGAATTGTCAAATCTAGCCGAAGCTCTTATAGTGCATATTCCCCACAACAAATAAAAATACTTTGTGGTAAAAAGTCGAGAAAGAAACAATATTGCTGAAAATAACTCCGACTATATCCCACAATTACGCATTATCAAGCAAAATGATAAATATACCTGAAATTAGTCACTCATACCCTAAAACATTAAAAACATCAAACATGAATGTAAAAAACCCATTATGAAAATTATAAGTAATGGAAGAATGCGTACGAGAATGACGTCAGGAGAGCACCAAGGAAGTTGGTCACCAGTACCACCATTGAAGAATGTAATAATGCACTCAAAGAATTGGTTGATCTTCGCCTCCATGTTCTTAACTGCTGTCCTCTGTTTTCAGAATTCAAAATCCACCAATTACTCAAATTTGATAGGTTTTGCCTGTCGCATTGGCGAATTATATTTGGGATGAAACTGTTTGAATATTATAGTTTATTACGCAAATATTTCGGGATTAGATTAACTTTATTGGTTCTAATTTTAGGCATCATGCAGATAAAAGGTGTGGTTCAACCATAAGAAAGTTGATGATATAATTCGTTATATGACACAATAACAAACTCTGACATAACATCAAGAAAAGTATAAAATGCTTCCTAAATTTTACTGTAAGAAATAGTAAGTAAGTGACATCAGTAGTTAAAAAGAACCGACAACACTAGCTTTTGAAGTTTTTCTTTTTACTTCTTCATTTTAATTTTAACATTTTTGTTCGTCAGTAATATTAAATTGTACATCGGAAGTAGTGTGTTAAGTCTTAAAATAATTAGTTAGATGGATAAGAAATTTAAAAGGATTAATTGTGTGATAGTTTTTTATTATACTAATTAACTTGTACAAGAACCTGCGCGATGCGCAGATAATTTGACAGAATATTAATATTATAAAATTATGATNATATATATATATATATATATATAATATCTTAAGTATAATATCCTAATAGTATCTTTATATTTTTGTATTTATCATTTGAAATGAAAGTTTTTTTATTTTTTTATTTTAAAATAATTCTAAAACTCCTACTTGAAACTACTGCACAATTTGAATGGATAATTGTTTGATCCTTTTATTTTTATTATTGAATTAGTAAGTACTCAGTACTATTGATAATTCNAAATTATGATATAATATATCATATTAACTTAATAAATATTAGTTATATTTTATTATTTAATATACTGTGGAGAAATATAACATAATCTATACAAAATTAAAGAATACACATCATATAGTAATCAAATAAATTGTTTGATCTTTTTTATTTTTATTATTGAATTAGCAAGTACTTAGTATTATTGATAATTTTCTTGAGTGTTATTTATTTATCTTTTATTTTTTAACTAATTTAAAATATAAATATCATAAATTATCTCTATCCCCCTCTTTTCANTGTTATTTATTTATCTTTTATTTTTTAACTAATTTAAAATATAAATATCATAAAATTATCTCTACCCCCTCTTTTTATACATTCCTTTCTACTGTAATACTTATTTGATTAGTTTTCAAATTTTGTAGTTTATTAAAAATTTAAATAATGTATTTTTTTTTTTTACTAAATTATAATTCATCAAAAGTATAAAGAGATGCATTTATCTCTCTCTATATATATATAATATGTTTATCTTATGTATAACATCCTAATAGTATTTTTATATTTTTGTATTTATCATTTGAATTGAAAGTTTCTTTATTTTTTTATTTTAAAATAATTCTACAACTCCAATTTGAAACTACTCTACAATTTGAATGGATAATTTTATTATATATTTTCATTTTTTAATATAATTTTTTTTTTTTGAATGGGCAAAAGTACATGTAGTTAGGGTTTACTAATTGCACCATCTACGATGACTCATCGGAAAAGACAGGGACGACGACCCCTACCCCTACCTCACCTAAATCACAAGCAGTAACGGGTAGACAAATAACCCTTCAATCTGGTATTCCACGGAGTCTAGCACCTCTACAGCTGATTCAATGGATGACAGGAATGAGGGTGCACCAACGATTTTGAAAGGGAAACCTTTGACGTCAGAATTAGAGAGTCTATCAGAGGAAATTGGAACAGAAAGTGCCCCAATTATTCTGCAAAAGGTCCTTATGATGCAAGCACCAGAAGTATGGAAGCTAATGCCTCGACGATGGTGAGGAAGTTATCCTTTTCAGCTAAAGGGACTGCTGATACACCTACCATGGCTGACATTGTCAAAGGAAATAGAACTAAGCAAACGGGTATGAAAATCGATTACTTCCCCCCTATTTTAAAAAGATGGAGTCAAAATGGCTAGGTTAAACTTAGCAGAGATAGAGGAACAAAGCAAAAAATGGCAATCGACTTTGATTGGCTATGTTATAGGAGGTAATCCTTTATTTAAGGAGATGCTGAAATATGTTTATGGAGTTTGGAATTTTGTCTCTACTCCACAACTATTTCTGCATAATGATGGTTATTTCATCTTCCGATTTGAGAATGAGGAAGATAAGAGCACATTCCTGAAGTCTGGACCCTATACGTTCGATTACAGACCCCTGATATTGAAGCAATGAGACCAAGATTTTTTAATGGAGAATGAACCAGCTCAGGTCATCCCTCTGTGGGTCACTTTTCCTAATTTTCCAATTCAATATTAGGCGACAGAGAATCTAGGAAGATTGGCCATCTGCGTGGGAAAACCTATATGTGCGAATAAGCTAACTTCACAAGGGGCTAGGGTGTATTATGCTAGGATCTTCATTGAGGTTGATGTCTCCCAACCCATACCTTATGAGATACTAATCGAAATTCCTAACAAAGGGGAAAGAATGCAAGTTGTGGAGTATGAATGGCGACCTCTATATTGTCAAGACTGCCCGCAAGTTAGCCACCAGACAGGAACTTGCAAGACAATACCTGCAGTTCATGACACTATGGAGAAAAACAAATAGACTAAGAAGAAGGGGCAGAAGAAGCAGGAATGGAACCAAAGCAACTAGTACAACCTAAGGAGCCTGTACCAACAGCCGTGATCCCAAAAGTGGTAAACTAAGTAGATCAGTCATCCCCCTCTTCAATTGAGGATGAACAAGGTGTAATCCAATTGGAAGATATAGGGAAAACAAAGATGGATCAAATTCAATAGCCTTCACAAACTGAGACTATGGTAAGGATATTGACTCAAAATAAGTTTAATGCTCTTAGAATTCAGTCAAAAGTAACCACTAATACAGTGGGAGGGACATCCACTCCAATGAAAAAGAACCCCCCCTATAATTTTTGGATCATGGAGCATTGGGGGGCTGAATAAGCCCTTCAAGCAGAAGGAATTTAAATCCTTCCTGCTTACAAATAAAGTGGTTCTAATAGGATATCTAGAGACTAAAGTTAAAGTTAAAGGGGTTGAAAGAGTAAAGAGGAAGCTAGGAACAAAGTGGAAAATTGCAACTGATTACATCTCAACTCCAAATGGAAGAATCTGGGTATGCTGGAAGCCATCAGCTATAGAGGTGAAAATCCTAATGACCGGTGGCCAAATTGTCCATTATCAAGTTAAGGACAAAGGGTCACAATTTAGATACCATACCACCTTTGTATATGATTTCAACACAGTGTCAAGTAGAAAGGAAATCTGGCAATATTTGAGGTTAATCAATACTACTATGACTGAACCGTGGATAGTATTAGGAGACTTCAACACAGTTTTGACAACTAATGATTGAATTAATGGGGCACCTATACAACAAGCAGAGATGCAAGACTTCCAGGATTGTGTTGAAGATATAGGGCTTGGTCAAATATGTAGAAGAGGCTGCAAATATTCCTGGTCTAACAAGCATATTCCTGAAGATAGAATTTACAGCCTCATAGTTTGGGCATTTGGTAATCAGTACTGGTACAAAAAATACAACTCCCTTATGGCACATTATCACCAACCAGGATGCTCTGATCGCTCCCCAATTCTAACATATACTAAGGTGACTAAACATACACTGCCTCGACCTTTCAAACTTTTCAATGTCCTGCTCAAACAGGAAGGATTTGCAGCAACCACTCAGTCTATTTGGAGACAACAAGTACCTGGTCACACTATGTATGGAATATGCAAGAAGCTGAAACTCCTTGAAATTGCTTTGACCCAAATGAATAGAGAAGTGTCCAAGTTGGACCACATATTAGAGCAGCTACATGGCAAGCTTCACGCTATGCAAGAGAAGATAGAAACTAATCTATATAATCCTCTCCTCATTAAGGAAGAAAAGGAAGTCCTACTCTGAAAAAATGGTCAGATATTCATGAAAGGGTACTTAGACAAAAATCTAGAGCTACATGGTTAATGCAAGGAGACTCCAATACAAAGTTCTTCTATGCATAACTCAAAGTAAGACATGCCAGGAACAACATTGCCACTATTTGTGACAGTCAAGGTGTGACATTAACTGACCCTGACAGAGTGCAAAATGAGTTTGTCAATTTTTTCCAAGAGTTTCTGGGTACTAGTGCTGTAGAACTACCAAGTATTGTCATTAACATTGCAAATGATAGACTCTGTCTCACTAGAGTACAATAGTTGGAGCTTATAAAGCCTGTCACTAGTGAGGAGATCACTCAGGTCCTCAAAGATTTACCTAATAATAAAGCCCCGGAAATTGATGGTTTTACTGCTGAATTCTTCAAGGAATATTGGAGCATTGTAGGGGATGATATAATACATGCAGTAGTGAAATTTTTTGAAACTGGCAGGCTATTTAGAGAAACCAATAGTACTACAATCACATTGGTTCCAAAAGTAGCCAATCCTACATTTGTGAAGGAATTCCGACCAATTGCCTGTTGTACAACTCTTTACAAGATAATAGCAAAAGTCCTTACTACTAGACTCAAACTAGTTGTGGACTACTTGGTTGGATCATCACAATCTGCTTTCATAGTAGGGAGGAATATCTTAGATTATGTCATAGTGGCACATGAACTTGTCAAAGGATATTCCCAGAAAGGTTTATCTCCAAGATGTCTGGTAAAAGTGGATATAAGGAAAGCATATGATTCTGTTGAATGGGATTTTTTAAAAGCAATTCTGGTGGAGTTTGGTTTTCCAGGGAAGTTTATCAACTTAATCATGGAGTGTGTTTCCATAGTGAACTACTCTATTCTGATCAATGGGGGCCTTACTCCTAAATTCAAGGCAAAGAAAAGACTAAGACAAGGGGACCCAATGTCCCCCAACCTGTTTGCGTTGGCAATGGAATATCTAAATAGATCTTTAAAGCAATTGAGGCACAACCCTGACTTTAATTACCACCCTAGATATGGTAAGCTAAAGTTAGTGCACATTTGTTTTGCAGATGATCTGTTAATGTGTTGTAGGGCAAATGAAATTTCTATAAGATTAATGCTTCACGCATTCAATCACAGGTCTTAAAACCAATCAAGAAAAGAGTTCCTTGTATATAAATGGAGTCTCACAAGCACTGAAGGAGCAAATTTTATCTGAGACACAGTTCTCATTAGGGGAGATCCCA